CTTGGACATTTTTTAACTAGTAAGGTTAGAAGATGTGAGGGCTGGGGTTATGGCTCAGTGGTAGAGCACTTGCCTCACATGCATGAGGCATTGGGATTGATCCTCAGCACCAAATAAATAAATGGTGTTCATCTACAACTAAAAATATATATATTTTAAAAAGATGTGATATGAGATAAGGAGGATTTATCTTAGTGATTTCAGGATGCTGGTAAGTATAATTTCTTACAGCAAGGAACCCAGTAGAAATTATCAGAAAGGCAGTTAAAAAAGAAGAGCCAGATGGGGCACAGTGGCACATGCCTATTATTCCAGCAGCTCGGGAGGCTTAGACAGGAGGATAGCAAGTTCAAAGCCAGCTTCAGCAAAAGCAAGGCACTAGGCAACTCAGTGAGACCGTGTCTCTAAAAATATACAAAATAGGGCTGGAGATGTGGTTCATTGATTCGAGTGCCCCTGCATTCAATACCCAGTACCAATAAATAAATAAATAAGAACCAGGCTTGGTGATAAATGCTTGTAATACAAGCTACTGAAGAAACTGAGGCAAAAGGATCACAAGTTCAAAGCCAGCCTAGGAAACTGAGTAAAACCCTGCCTCAAAATAAAAAAGAGCTGGGAATGTAACTTATTACTGGAGTGCTTGCCTAGCAAGTGCATGCCCCTGGATTCAATCTCTAGTACTGCCCAAAAAAAAGTGTAAAGTTGTTTGTATTATGTCTGGTGGTTGTCAAATGAGCTGGTGTAGGTGACTTATTAGCACACAAATTCTCAATACACTTAACAATTAGTATTTTCTATTCATCTACTATGTGCCAGACCCTGGAAAAGAGAAAGAACATCTAGTATCTATCCTCCACACCTAGCAAAAGGTTTGTAACTTAAAGTAGTAATCTGTAGTACATAGGATGGTAGAGGGATACTTTAGAAACAGGTGGGGCACTGTCTGAAAGGCTTCTTTTAAGAGGATATTTATGCTGACTCTTAACAGATGAGAAGAATACCAGAAATTAGCCTCGTGAGGATTTGGGGCAGGTAGAGCAGAGAGATCTTCCAAACAAAGAGTAGCACAAGGAAAGATAGGCATGCTGACATGCCTAGCTACACTATGGCCTGTGCCTTTGCAAGTTGTTGTAAGCATAGGGACATCTTGACATTTTGAACTTCAAACAGAAAGCAGGGTCACAGGTGAAACCCTAACCTACCCTGAATCCTTATAGCTAATGCTTACCCAGAGACTCTCATCTGAGACCCCTCAAACTGTGCCCTTCTTCATCCTCTAGTTCCCTCTGTTCTCCCTAGATTGTCTACAATCTGCTGTCTCTGCGCTTCAATTCACGAATCCGTGTGAAGACCTATACAGATGAGCTGACACCAATTGAGTCCACAGTCTCTGTGTATAAGGCAGCCAACTGGTATGAGAGGGAGGTGAGTTGGTGGATATGATGGGCCTTGCCTCTGGGCCAGAGTTGCTGAATTGGTTGAAACTTGGGCTGTAATGTAGCTCCTTCCCCTGTTGTAGGCCCTGTGGACTGGTTGCCTGAGAGCCTCTTTTTTTCTAGATCTGGGACATGTTTGGTGTCTTTTTTGCTAACCACCCTGACCTAAGAAGGATCCTGACAGATTATGGCTTTGAGGGACATCCTTTCCGGAAAGACTTCCCACTGTCTGGTTATGTTGAGGTAAGAGCCTTGAAATTGGGGTGCTAGCCTTAGGGAGGGACTCACAGGGAATAGGGAATAGTGGAGATGGCAGGATCTGTGTGGGTGGGCTCTGGATTCAAATCCTAGCTTCATTTTTGTAATCTGGGGCAAGGTACTTAATTTAATTATGGTTCTATTTTTGTACAGTAGGGACAATAATAGCTTAAACGATGTATGGTGAGCATTAAATGATGTATGTGTGAAGCTGGGTGTTTTAAGTGTGCTAAATATCAGTTGATGCTAGCTATTATTATAATAATCATTTTAATGATGAAAGCAGCCTTCAGAACAATCTGGCCAGGCACAGTGGTGCACGCCTGTAGTCCCAACAGTTTGGGAGGCTGAGTCAGGAGTTCTAAGCCAACTTCAGCAAAAGCAAGGCACTAACAACTCAGTGAGACCATGTCTTTAAGTTCAACCCCTGGTACCGCCCCCCCGCCCGCAAATAAAAAAGAACAGTCTGCCCCCAACTCCTGAAAGTAGAGGATTATTTTTCCTTGCCCTAGATTTTCAATAAGGCATTTGGCAGGGAAGATGCTAAATGTCTAATCCTCACAAACAGCCAACAAACTGGGCACAGTGGCACACACCTGTAATCCCAGCAATTCAGGAGGCTGAAGTAAAAGGATCAAAAATTCAACTCCAGCCTCAACAAATTAGTGAGACCTTGTCTCGAAATTAAAAAATAAAAAGGGCTGGGGATGTGGCTCAGAAGTTAAGTGCCTCTGGGTTCAATCCCCCTTACCAAGAAAAAACAAAAAAATGAATAGCCACTGAGGCAGGACCAGTAATATGTCACTACAAGAGTCTTATAAAGAATTCCAGTGGGCTGGGGTTGTGACTCAATGATAGAGTGCTTGCCTAGCATGTGTGAGGCACTAGGTTCAATCCTCAGCATACTACATAAAAATAAATAAATAAAGTGTTGCGTCTATCTATAACAAAAAGTACTTAAAAAAATAAATTTTTTTTTCCAGTGGCACTGCTGATTAGCAGGAAGGTAGCCTTAAAACAAACAAACAAAAAAAAAACACATAAATTTTGTAGCAAGGTAGCTTTTTTAGAAATGTTAATTACAAGCATGAGCCAATATGCCTCATTTAACTTCAGACTTTTTTTTTTGGTCCCAGGGACTTAACCACTGAGCCACATCCCCAGCCCTTTTTTTATTTTATTTAGAGACAGAGTCTTACTGATTTATTTAGGGTCTTGCTAAGTTGCTGAAGCTAGCTTTGAACTTGCGATCCTCTTGCCTCAGCCTCCTAAGCAGATGCATTACAAGCCTGCACAACCACTCTTGGCTCTGAGATACTGACAGTGGAAATACCAAGGCCAGAAGGCCTGAAGTTGTGTCTATCAGTTTACGTTTACTCTTTTCAGCCACCAGCTGCTCCCAATCCTGGACAAATGCTTTCCATTATCTTATGAGAATGGATGAGCAGAGTCAGTTCTAGAAAAGGGTTCAGAGTTCACACTGTGGTGGGGCAGGCGACAGGGGAGTCTGAATGTTGCTGAAGTGCGTGAGTGGTAGGAGACCATCTGGGAATTCCACTTACCAGGTTGTTGGAGTGTGACGCATCGTGACAGGTCACACAAATATGTATGGAGACTTGTTGACAAAAAAGGCTAGAATAGGAGTCAAGGACAGAATGATGATAGGCTGGGGGAATCGCCCATGGCCCGTGAAAGTGTGCTCCTTAGTGGCCATGACAAGACGTTCTTCAGTACTCAGTCCTGTCTTTTGTTCCTGCAGTTACGCTATGATGATGAAGTAAAGCGGGTGGTGGCTGAGCCAGTGGAGTTGGCCCAAGAGTTCCGCAAGTTTGACCTGAACAGCCCCTGGGAGGCTTTCCCTGCCTATCGGCAGCCTCCTGAGAATCTCAAGCTTGAAGCCGGAGACAAGAAGCCTGAAGCCAAATAGCTCCAGGGAAGGCTTATGAATTAAGGAGAGCATCTTGTCTATGATTGTTTGTGTAAATAAATTCCTACTAAGACTCCACACTTCTTGTGTGCTAATAATGGGTAGAGCGACACTTTGACTCAGGTAAAGGCAGGTGCAGGCAAAGGTGTTTCTCTGCTCCCTTAGAATGTACCAAAGCTGCAAGTCTGTTTTTTTGTTTGTTTGTTTGTTTTTGGTGGGGGGTGGGTATCAGGGATTGGCCACTGAGCCACATCCCCAGCCCTATTTTGCATTTTATTTAGAGATAGGGTCTCACTGAGTTGCTCAGCAGTTCACTTTTGCTGAGGCTGGCTTTGAACTCGCCATCTTCCTACCTTAGCCTCCCAAGCCATTGGGATTACAGCATGCACCACCATACCTGGCTCTGTTTTGGTTTTCTTTGTTGTTTGTTTGTTTTTTTTTGTTTTTGAGTAGTCCATTTGAGTAGTCCAGATTGAACCCAGGGGCATTTTTCCACTGAACTACATCCCCAGACCATTTTTTTTTTTTTAATTGTGAGACTGGCTTCAAATTTTTGATCCTCCTATCTCAGACTCCCAAGTCACTGGGATTACAGACATGTAACCTCCCACAGCCTACAAGTGTACTTTAATGGGAGTAAATAGTGTGTTGCAGATACTGTCACCTGCAGGCCTGTATGTACTTCTGAGAGGGATTTTGACTAATTCAAAGTGCTCACATTCCAGTGGGTTCAGGATCTCTTTGGTGTGGCATCTAGTGAGAATTGGAGGGTCTCAATAACTGTTGGAGTAAGCCTCTAATGCAGTAAGCCTCTCATGGTGGCATCTGATGGATTCCTGGGTGGAACCAAGGAATCTCCATTCTACTCTCCTCCCACCCACACATCCACAGGGTTACATGAGCGAATAGTCAAAGCTTGAAAGAACACCTTAGCTCATTTTTGAGCCTTGAATCTTGTATTCTCTCTAGCCTGATAGCTTGTCATTCTTGAGCTAGAGGAATCTGCCTAGTTTCTGGCCTGAACCAAGACTGGAGCCTTGAAGAGACTCCAGGGCTACGGCAAAAACGCTAAGGAGTGGCAGATTTGTCTGTCAGGAGACAGTACTCGCTTCCCCAGCTGGTCTAGGGTCTCTTCAGCCTGTGGCTGAATGCCTGAAATGAGAGCACTAGGCTCTGCCTTCCAAGCGGCCCTCCCAGCATGCAGCTGGAGTACTGGGCTCTGCAGCTGATGCTCTTGGCACCCAAGCAGCTCCCTGGAGGTGGAGTTGGACTGGGTGTCAGGGGCTGGCATCCTGTCAGTAGCAGGATGTTTCAAGGGTGAGGACAGATAGTAAGGTAGCATTACTGCCTGAGATCTCCCCCCGCCCCCCTTTGGAAGGTCAAGCCAGTTTGCTACCAAGCCCTTTTTTCTGTTAACTAAGCATCCCACCCATTAGGCAGGAACAGGCTGCTACTGCCAAAACCACAGATTCCCATTTCTGGAGGGTGGAAAGGGCCCCAGGAGGTGATGGAGGCCACAAGCCAGTCCCTCCCTATTCTGCATTGAAGACTGACATGCGTAACAGAATGCTGGAGCAGCCTGCAGTGGAAAGTTAGAGCTGTGGTATGTGGCAGGCAAATGAGGGAGCACAGAGCTGCTAGGAAGAGTGAGACTCAGAGGATGAGGTGCAGCATGGCCAGGACACCGCAGTTACTGGCTTATCTGGTGGTAGCCATTTGCCTCTGCCCTGGAGCAACAACAACCCAGCACCATGCAGGTACAGGGGCCTCAGGGTGGGTGGATAGGAGCCAAGAAAGGCTACTGGCAGAGAGCAGTTTCTGCTGGCTCCAATTGATCCTCACAGGGCAAAGGATCTGTGGGACTGAAGTGTATGCTACAGTGGGTAATGGTGTGGACCCCACTTAATGCTGGCCTGAGTCACAGTTGGGCCCTGGGCTTATTTCAGCTGATGTCCAAAGCAGGGTCTCTTGATGTGTTCTGGGTTTGGGACAATCACTGCTAATGATACACACTTCATGATACAGGATGGAGGAAAATTAACAGTCATCCTGTCCTGCCCAGTTCTCTGCCTTACACACAATGCACTACTGAGGAAAAGCAAGGAAAGAGTAGCCCCCTCCAAAAAAGTCCTCATCTTGCTGGGCACAAACTGTATGCATATAATTCCAGCTACTCCAAAGGCTGAGGCAGGAGGATCACAAATTCCAAAACAGCTTCAGTAACTTAGCAAGATCCTGTCTCAATTTTTTAAAAAGGCCTGAGAGTGTAGCTCAGTGGCAGAGCACTTACCTTGTACATGCAAGGCCCTGGGTTCAGTCCCCAGCATTGCAAAAGGAAAAGAGGTCCTTATCCTTTGCGGAGGGTCATTGGCAGTGGTTTAGGTCACGTTATCCCCAGATGACTATAGGGAGGGAAAAAGGGAGGAAAAGGGTCTTGTGACCTGTTTGTTGGTGTGGAGCTCTTTACCAAGGGAATTGTGCAAGTTAAAGGAGGAGTCCTGGGTATTTGCCGACCCTTTGGTATAACTTGGTACGACACTTTGAGATCACAAGATCCATGCCTGGAAGGATGAATGCCAGTGTGCATGTGGGATGGGGGAGAGGAGCATGAGATGGCATTCCTACACTTTAGTAGACAGAAGATCCAGGAGGGACCCCTATGAGGCAGCTGAAGGATACTTCTGGGATTCTGGGGTGTTCAGGGTGGAATATGACAAGGGCCTGACTCCTCTCTGCTGCCCCAGGGCAGCCCGAGGACAGCGCCAGCGTGGGAGGTGGCCTGCAGGACCCAGAAGCCCCCGAAGTGATGTTTGAGGTCATTATTCCCAGCCTGGGTTGTGGGGGTGGGAATTTCCACAAGTCCCTAAGCTTAAGGCTGGGAAGGGGAATATCAGGGTGTGCCTGCCGGGGGTGGGGGACAACCTGGCATGAGTTCTACTGCCTGCTTATGCTCCCTACCCGGCTCCCCAGGCTTCAGCCCATCCCTTAAATAGCTCCCCTTGCAGCTGCTCTGGGCTGGGCTGGAGCTGGATGTCATGGGGCAGCTGTACATCCAGGATGAAGAACTAGCATCCACACGTCCAGGTCGCCGACTCAGGCTCCTCCTGCAGCACCGAGTACCCAGTGACTTGGAGGATGCTGAGCAGCAGCTGAAACAGCTCCAGGACCTGCGAAAGGGGCCTCCTCTTAGTCCTTGGGACTTTGAACATCTGCTCCTCACAGGCCTATCCTGCGTCTACCGGCTCCATGCTGCTAGTGAGGCTGAAGAAAGGGGTCGCTGGGCCCAGGTCTTCTCCCTCCTGGCCCAGGAAACACTCTGGGACCTGTGTAAGGATTTCTGCCCCCAGGGCCAGCCCCCTTGGCTGGGGCCCTGGGCCTCCATCCTTGGCCCCTTCCCCTGACCCTTCCTTTTTACCTGTCATTTTCCCCTCCTATTATGTCCCCCCCCCCCCCCACCCCCCAAAAAAAACCAAAAACAACAACAACAAAAAAAAACCTGAGCGCCAGACCCTTCCTGGGCAAGGACTTCTATCTGGCATTTATGGGCTGGACTTGCACCTTGACTCACCCCACTTCATGCTTACCCCTACCCTTTCTTGTTCCATAGACCCTGATAGGGCTAAGAGCCCAAGGCATGCTAGGGACAGCAGGCACACAGCTAAGGGCAGGACTTGTGGGCAGTACATGTGTTGGGGCCAGGATTGAGAAGTGTGTTTAAGAGACGCTAAAAGAGGAACAGCCCTAAGTATATTCAGGTTAGAACCTCCAGCCTCCAATTCCTACCCTAACAGTCTGAGAGGTCCTGTGGAATCTACAGGAATCTGTATGCCCAGCACCCAGTCCTAATTTAGATAGTCCTCTCAAGCCTGACCAGGGCTCTGGAGTCCCTTGAACCTGCAAGTTCCCCATCTGGATTGGGAGCCCAGGTTGGACTTCTTGAGTTCTGTCTGTTGGAGGAGTGGAGGGAAGCAGTGGAGGAACTTTAACTTCTTTGGAGAAAGGAAGGCAAATGTCCTATCTTCCATCTCAACAAATCTCAGATGAACATCTCAGAGGAAGGAATAAGGCTGGGAGAGGACTCACCCAAACCAGAGAGACTAGCTGATGCAGGCTGTGGTAGGTGTAGCTGGGATTCTGTGTATCTCTTCTTATAAAAAACTCTGTTCTGGCCTCCTGGAGCCTGAGTCATTCTGTTAGGTTATCTAAAGCAACCCTAAGGAAACCACCCTCTTTATCCTAGGAGGGCAGGAGGCAGAGCAATCAGGTGTCAAGCCCTCATCACATTCCCACACCCTACTGGAAGAAGGAACTTATGTTCCCTTTGAGTCCTGTGGCCTGGGGTGGATAGTGGCATGCTGTCTCATCATGGAAAGGAATCAGATGGGCCCTAGGTCTAAGTCAAATGTGAGGTGTCAGGCGGAGTGACGGATTGGACAGGAACACGCATTAGATGAAATTTCCCACCTTCTCACCCTCCCAGGGCCTGATCCCCACCTCCGGCTGTGGGCTGCAGAATTCAGTGTTTTCCTGTCCCATCCCGAGGCAAAGCATCGCTTAAGACAGAGCAGACTCTTGGGCTGGCCGGCGCAGGCCCACTTTATTGGCAGAGTCCAGCCGCGCTGGGCAGGCCGTCATGCTCGCGCCGGTGGGGCGTTCGGGCCGCGGTCCGGCTCGGCATGCACGCCCCTTGGCCCTCCGGGGCTCCTCTGGGATCGGTCGGGGCTCAGAGCTCCGGGGGCCCGAGTCCCGGCGGGCCAGAGGGGGTGAGATCGGGGTACACCAGGAAGCCGGAGAAGGTGATGTACTTGCCGTGGTTGCTGTAGGCACCGTAGCCATCATGGTCGTGGCTGAGCAGCCAGACCGCGTCGCCACGCCGCAGGGCCAGCATCACACTCTGGCTCTGCATCTCGCGGCGCCTCGACGCGCCGTCGTCGTAGATCATGGCCTGCACCTCGTCGCGGTTCTTCATCAGCTTCACCGAGAGCGTCTTGCGCGGGAGCTTGCCCAGCGTGAAGGAGAAGTAGTAGGCGCCGGGCAGGCGGCAGCGGAACACGCCGGCCGCCGCGTCGAAGTCACCGCCAATGTTGACCAGCTCGGTGTCAAAGGCGAGCGGCCGGTGCCGCGGCCCAGGGCCCGCGTCCGAGCCCACCAGGCTGTGCGTGCGCGCCGCCGAGAAGGCAGAGCGTGGCTCGGGGGGCGCGGGCGGCCCGCGCGCAGGCGCGTCGGCATCAGCGTCGGCGTACACCAAGTAGCCGCTGAAGGTGGCGCCCGGCGCGCCGAGAGCGTACTGCGGCGCACCATGGAGCCGCAGCCACACCATGTCACCGTAGTCGAGCTGCAGCATGGCGCTCTGGCTGGCAGCGCGCCGGGCGCCTGGACGCCGCTGCTCGTCGAAGGCCAGAGCCTGCACCTCGTCGCGGTTGCGCACCAGCATCACCGACAGGCTCTTGTGCGGGGCCTTACCGGCAGTAAAGGAAAAGAAGTAGGCGCCCGGCACGCGGCAGCGGAACTGCCCGGTGGCTGCGTCGAAGTCGCCTCCGATGTTTACGTACACCTTGTCGAAGGTCACTGCCATCTCTGAAGTGCCCTCCAGGGGTGTTGTGCGTGCAGCCGAGAAGGCTGAGCGCAGCTCTGAGGAGCCTGGGTCAGCGGCCAGGCCCAGTGCCCAGCAGGCAACCGGGCTTAGCAGGCCCAGCAGGAGCAACAGCATGGCCCCTGGAGGAGAGAGGGGGAAGGAAAGGAGAGTTGGACAGCACTCACTTCCAAATATCCTGCTCTCTGGACTGGAGGAGACATATGGGTTTTTTTCCTATCCCTGTCCTTGACCCAGAACTTGCCCTCGATTTTCCTACACAATGACTAGGATGGTGCTGCTTAAACTTTAATGTGTTCAGTGTCACCTGGAGGGCTTATTAAAACACAGGGCCAGGCATGCTGATGCACACCTGTAGTCCTTCCTAGCTGCTTAGGTCATCGCAAGTTGTGGCAGGAGATCGCAAGTTCAAGGCCATCCTGAATAACTTATGAAGACCCTGTCTCAAAATTTAAATAAATAAATAAATGGAGGTCTGGGGATGTAGTTCAACGTACTGGGTTCAGTCTGCAGAACTGCAAGAGACAAACAAAAACAGCAACAACAATAATAAAAACTACACATAGTTGGGCCCTAGCCACATAGTTTATTCTCTAGATTTAGGATGGGGCCCGAAAATTTATATGCTTAACAATTTCCCAGTTGATAGCCGTGTGTGGTGGTAAGTGCCTATAATCCAAGCCGCTGGGGACACTGAGGCAGGAGGATACCAAGTTCAAAGCCAGCCTCAGTAATTTAGTGGGACCCCAAGCAACTCAGCGAGACCCCTGTCGGTAAATAAGTTGCAAAAAAGTGGGGGCTGGGGATGTGGCTCAGTGGTTAAGCACCCCTGGGTTCAATCCCCAGTGCCTAGCCCCCAAATTTCCCTGGTGATGCTCATGAAGCTGGTCCAAGGACTGCATTTTCAGAACCACTAGACTTAGACCAGTGATTCTCCAAACTTCTCTTTTTTTTTTTTTTTGAGGGGGGGGTAAGCATGGAAACTCCTTTCTTAAGTGAAGTCTGGAACATATATACCACAGACAAGCAGAAATGCTGTGGTTGAAGAGGCCCACAGCATTGTCTGCTGGACTCAGCCCTTTCCTTCTCTCTTGGCACCCAGGGCTCTGGTAACACAGGAGACAGGAGACACTGAGAAGAGTTTCTCTCAGACTCTAGTTCACTTCATTTTGTGTGTGTGGGGGGGTGGGGGGGGTCTTCTCTGATCCTGGGCTTGCTCTTCACAGTGGGCACTGTCTCTGTCAGTGTCCTTCATAACAGTTACTATTTGAATGCTTTCTGGGTAGGAAGAGGAGTAACTGCTCTCTCTTTCCTGGCCTTTGACCCACTCAAGGGTCAGCCCTCACCCAGGACCTCTGGATTTCCTAGGGGTTCTCCCGGAATTGAGGAGGAGAAAGAAGCTGGGCTTTGAGGTAACTCCACCCTCATGAAATCTGAGTGAAAAAAAAGGCAACTCCTCTGCCTTGAGGCTGGACACTGGAGGAGAAAAGTCAGGGGTTGCTGGGGATACAGGAAGAGCAAAATTCCAGCAGGGCTTTGGTAGGACTGAAGTCAGTAGCTTTGTTCCTCAGTTGTGGTGGAATGGAGTAGACACACCTAAGTCTGGGTTGGTTTCTTGGCTCTACCACTAACACTGAAATCTCAGGCAAATTTCTTATGGCTTCCTCTGTGTAAATGCTGAGAGAATGCTCTGAGATAACAGGTGTGACCATGGTTTATAAAGAGCACTGCTACCCAGGTGTGCAGATGCTTCTGTGCTTAGCGGTAGGAAAAGCAATCTGATCAAGTTCTTGACATAAAGGGTTAAGGACTCAGTAACTGGTACCCTAAGAGCTTAGGGAAGGAGTCATTCTCTGATATTGGGATTCCTAGTAGGGTACAGGCTTTGCGACCCTGAAGTGGAGGCAAAGTGGTAAGATAAGCTGGGATGTGGGTTTCTCTATGAAATGCCCTGGGAGAGCATGTAGCTTTGTGCCTCTTGGAGACACTGGCAGCCTGTTGAGAAGGGTTACCATAAGCGGCTGTGGATGCTTCCTGCACCAGGATGCTCACTTGAGGTTTGGTGGAAGCTGGGCTCTAATCCACATTCCACTTGCCCAGCTGTCAGAGTGGCATCTGGGGTAAAGTATGTCTTCTTCTAATTCTTATAATAAAAGACCCCAAGCCACTGTCCTACTGTCTCCTTCCAGTGGAGGTATTTTTCCTAATTCTCAAGAAGGCACTCTATGGGTTATGATACCCAGGAGAGGGCATTTATAGTGGTGAAGACTACACCTCACAAATGTCAGGTACATTCCCTTTTACAAAGCTCTTTTGGGCCACATTTTGGCCCACGGTTATCCACGGAGCACTAAAGGAAGCCTTGAACAGAGGTTTTTTGTTTGTTTGTTTTGTTTTTGTTTCCCCCCCACACACTTCAAATTCAATGTACCTTCTTTTCCACCACTTTTCCCTCCTAAACACAGGTATTTCCAGCCAACCTTTCCTTTGCGTCTTTTCTCTCTCTCTCTCTCTTTTTTTCTTTCTTTCTTTTTTTAATAGGAGACCAGGGGAATGAGAGTTGGGATCCAGTGTGAAGGATAACTACAAGCAAGCAAGCAAGCAAACAAAAAAAGCCCTCTAGCATTTTGTCTTCTTGGAGCTTGGGAGCAGCTTAACTCTCTCCCACCCTGACGCTTTCCCAGCAGGTCCTTCCGCAGGAGCGCCTGTCCAGCCATCTCCCTGCCAGCTCTGTAGCTCCCAATACCAAAGGGTCTCCTGTGTGCCAGACACCGGCCTCTGTTTTACTCACCACCGCCCATTTCCCAAGTCTCCAGGTCCCATCCTTCTCTGAAAGCTCTCCCCTGAACCTCCTTTCTTGAGGAAGCAGGGGTGGGGGGCAGGAGGGGGCGGGAGGGGGGACTGTCAGGTGGGCGGCATGGCTCTAGAGAAGGAAATGGCTGTTCCTAGCTCTGTCCAGGTGAGGCTCAAAATAGACATCTTCAAAGAGAAAAACTGGAACAGAGCTGGGCAGACCCAGAGCCATGGAACCAACGGGGGAGGTGCAGCGATATCGGGTTGAGGACATGGCCAAACCCCTCTTCCCCCAAGCCCTCACTCCCCAGCTAACCCGTGTCTACAGCCCCGCCAGAACCTCCTCGCCATCTACGTTGAAAGCCCCTCATCCTCCCAAGAAGAGCATTTCTACTTTCACGGGAGCAGCCAATTAGTCTTTACCCATGGAGGAAAAATCACCCAGAAAGGGGTACCCCAAACCCTCTCTCCCCGAGTCCTCCCCCCGCCCATCGCCCTGGAGTGAAAGCCCTTAAGCCTCTTTGGGAAAAAGCGCCCAGGTCCTCAGTTCAAGGAAAAAGGACCCAGTGGCCCAACGCCTCCCGCTGCCCCCGTTTGCAATAAAAGCGAAACCTGGCTCCCCCCCACCCCCGCCTCCTCCAAGCTGCCCTCACCTGGCTGGCGGCGACCGGGATGGTTCTGTCCGAGCCCGCGATGGAGCTCCGGCTCCGCGCTCCAGGCGGGCGCCTGGGCTGCGCACTGACCGCCTGCGCTGCGGTGGAGCTGGGCCTGCCCGGGGCGGTGGGGGCTCAGGCCGCGAGGCGGTGGCGGGCGGGACGCGGGTTCCCCGGACCCGGAGGCGTGAGGGATAGAGAAGGACAGTCAAAGAGGGAGACGGTCGGGCGGAGGGGCGGAAAGACAGGGAAGAGGCGGGAAGGGGGACGGGGAGGGAGGGGCGCGCCGAGAGGAGGGGAGCCGAGCAGCAGGGCCTGGGGCACCGCACGGAGCCTGCGCCGAGCGAGAGACCCTTCCTCATCCTCTGGGTCTACAGAGCAGGCATCATTAATCCAATTTACCAGATGGGGAAACTGAGGCCCGAGGCAGAGGCCACACTGGAGGTGGCCCAGGATACTCTACAGACTAGCCTCCTCCTGGTTTGGTGGGAGAAGACTGGAGCAGGACTTAGAGACTGGGCTAGGCTTTGGGCTGCAAGGACGATGGAAGGTGAGATTTTGGCTGGGACAAATGTCCAGGCTGAGTGCCTTGAGGGAGAGGGGCTGAGGGAAGAGAAGGATAAATGGGACAATGTTACCAGTAAAAGAAGAGTTTAAAATGTCCTAGTTTTTCAAGCTCACTTCCAAGACTGAAAATGCCCACAAAGCATAGGAAGGAAGGAGGAAGACAAAGCCTGCAGATGTCTGCAGCCTGCATCCCTCTGGGGAGCTGGTGAAGGAGGAGGAGGGTCCTTGGGGCAGAATTGAATTTTCTGTTGAAAAAGGTTGAGAAGGACAGTGGGAGGGCTCAAAGATTCTCTGCATGGAGAGGGACAAGGACACCCTGCCCAGCTGAGGCCAGGGCCTCAGGGTTGGCCACCTGCTTGAAAAGCAGGCTTATGGGGAGGGCACATGACAGGATAAGGGTAGGAAGAGCCTGGGTGTAGCAAGAGGGCTTCTGGCCACTCGGGCTCAGTGGGATTATTCAAATTCCCATTGCAAAGACATGCTCCAGCAAAACCAAGTAAGATTTCCTTGGTGAAAACCTACTTGTAACTGTATGCTTTATTTTCTTTTCTCCTTTTCTTGTCTCATTTCCCACTCCTCACCCTGCTTCTCTGAATTATCTCCTAAATAAACTAATCACACCAAAATCCTTGTCTCAGAATCTGCTTTTGAGGAAACCAAAACTAAGACAATACACAATAACTGTGAGCTTGACATTGTGTTAAGTGTTCTTCTCATCCATTGCCCTATTTAATTTTCTTAACACCTCCCCCCAAGTAGGTACCATTAAGCTAATTTTTCAAATGAATAAAAAGTTTAGTTGGGGATAGGATTCAAACACAGTTCTCTCTAGCTCCAAAACCCATTTCTTTTTCTTTCTTTCTTTTAAATTTTTCTTTAGTTATAGATGGACACAATATCTTTATTTTATTTATTTTTTAATATGGTGCTGAGGATCAAACCCAGTGCCTCACACATGCTAGGCAAGCGCTCTACCACCGAGCTACAACCCTAGCCCTCCAAAACCCATTTTTTAATCACTAGGCTCTGCAGCCTCCCTTCTCTGATCCTCTCTGGGCCTTATTTTTTCATCTGTAAAACAAGGAATGACTTCTTGAAGGGAAGCAGTGAACCCAGTTTCTCTTGCAGCTAAGCATGGTCTTTTATTTATTTATTTATTTTGGAATTGGGATTGAACCCAGGGGCATTTGACCACTGAGCCACATCCTCAGCTGTTTTTATTTTTTTATTTTGAGACAGGGTGTTGCTAAGTTGCTTAGGACCTCATTAAATTACTGAGGTTGACTCCTGTCTCAGCCTTTTGAGTCACTCGGATTACAGGCCTGCACCACCACACCTGGCAGAGAAAATGCTTTTAAAGGGAACAACTCAGTTGGGAGACCCATTCTTTTTGCCCTCACTTCTCTTTTCCCTCTTTCTGGAATGTGGATATGAAGGCTGAAGCTCCATTTTCCACCTTGGGTCAGGAGACAACAATGAAGTCTTCTAATGCACAGTGCTAGGTAGGTGCTCTTGAAGAAGCTGAGATGAACAAGCCCCAGACCTTGCCCTTTGGAGCTGATCATTTAGTGAAGGCACTAGGGTTGGGCTGGGGTTGTGGCTCAGTGGTAGAGCACTCACCTAGCAGGTGCGAGGCCCTGGGTTTGCTCCACAGCACTGTTATAACTTTATTTTTTTTTTTTTCTGTTTTTTTCTTTTTTTTTTCTGTTATAACTTTAAAATAATTTTTTTTTAAAGGCAGTAGGATGTGGACATAAAGAACATATGGTGGCGCATACCTGTAATCCTAGTGGCTCTGGAGCCTGAGGCAGGAGGATCACAGGTTCAAAGCCAGCACTCAACAACTTAGTGAGTCCCTGAGCAACTCTGTGAGACTGTGAGACCCTGTCTCTACATAAAATTTTAAAAGGGCTGGGGAGGGCTGGGGTTGTAGCTCAGTGGTAGAGCGCTTGCCTTGCACATGTGAGGCACTGGGTTTGATCGCTGCCAGCACCACATAAAAATAAATAAACTAAAGACATGCTGTCCATCTACAACTACAAAAAAAAAAAAAAAAAAAAAAAAAAAAAGTGTGGCTCAGTGGTTAAGTGCCCTTGGGTTCAATCTCTGGTACAAAAAAAAAAAGCAAATAAAAAAACTGAAATATCTGAAAAAGGCATCAGTGCCAGTAGCAGTAAGCCACAAAATACCAGGAGAACTCAAAGAGGGAGCAGTTTCAGCTGGGGGAGATCAGGGAAAGTGGCAAAAATAGGCTATTTCTAAGTAATGAGTAGGGTTTTGACATGAGGAGATGGGGGTGGAGATGGAAGAGTGAGCGGGGTATAAGGTCCAATTAAAGGTAAGAATATGAAGAGAAATGCGGAGATGGCATAGACAGGGACTTGGGGAGGGGCACTGTTCATGGCTCATTTCCCAAGAGAAGGGTTTGTGAAGGGAAGTTATGGCAGAGAAGATGTGTGGAGTTTCAAAGCAAGCTAAAGAGCTTTTATCTTGCAGCAGAGAGAAAGCAATGCTCAGAGCTGTATTTTCAGATTACTCTAGTTGCAGATTAAAAGATAGAAGACTGAAGAAGAGAGGAGAAGAAGGCAGATTAAGGAGAAGACAATAAAAAATGTCCAAACGAATCTGGACTCTGCAGGGACAGTCACAAAGAAAAAGAAGGGAAGAGACACGGGAGACTAAGAGATTTGGAGACTGTGACTGCACAAGCTCACAATTTAATTAGCCTCCTGGTTTGCCAGAGGATTACAGGGGAATTAGCAGAGCTCAGAGTCTAGGGACCTTGCTGAGAGTTGAGGGGAAGTTAATGAGAAAGACAACAACATGCCCCAGGGAGAAACGAAAGAGGAGGAATCTTTAGTCAAGCAGAGAAGCCAGCGGGAGAAACAGATGTCCAGGCAGAGTCTGCCTTCCCCAGAGATTCCAATCCTCCAGGAGAGCAGACGTTTTAGGCACCTGGGTCAGGCTCTTGGTCCCATTGCCCCAGGTTCTGATCCCACTGGGCTCCTTATAAATGACCCAGGAGCGGAAGAGCTGGAAGTGGCTGTGAAGATCAAATTCCCAACTCTCCGTGGGCCCTTTTCTCAGCAGGGGTTAGAGGTCCTGACACCAGCCCTTCTAGAAGGCAAGGCTGAAATGAATCCTTCCAGTCCCTTCTGCAGCTGGATGGGGAGGTGACCTAGTCATGACTGCATGTGGCAAATTTAATCTTCCAAAGATTGTAATAGTATCTCCCATTCCTCCTTGCTCTTCTTACAGTGTGACCTTGCCATTCCCCATAAAGGTTAGGTTAGGTCATCACTTCTTTTGCCTGGATCTCTCTCCACACAGAAAATCCAGACCACACGGAAAGGCCCTGTGGAGATAGATGTTGAGGTCAACAACACCAGTTAAATAATTTGCAAGTTCGGTTCAAAATGAAATTATGGGGATTCTTGTTCAAAAACTCAGAAGGAGGCAACACAGCATTAAATCAATCATGGTAGCTGGTGAGTAGAGTGTTCCCAGCATGTGTGAGGCCCTGGGTTAGATTCCCAGAACTAATTTCAAAAATGCAGTGCTGGGGGTGAAACCCAGGGCTTCTTGCATGCTAGACAAGCATTCTACCACTGAACCACACCTGCAGCCCCATGGGGCCTGAGATGCCCAGTACATCTGTACAAGTTGCATGACCATGACGCTGGGCCTGGCTCCAGCTGAGTCCCAGCATCATTGCCAGCAATGTGAAGGAAGAAGACTTCTCGAACGTGGAGACCTCTGCGACAGCCATTGCCTTCTGATTCTGATGGGTGGGGTGGCAGTGGAGGGCTTGAATTACTTTGCCCATGTTTAGTCCAGGGAAGTCCCTGCCGGCAGGAGGAGTACTGAGTGAGGGGCAGAGCTTGGCATGGAAAGTAATACATAATCCAGTTGAGTAATCTCTGGAGCAGGAGAGGAGGGGACAGGGAGAGGACAGGAAGAGCATGAAATATATCTGGTAGTTTCTCATTGTCTCCTCAGATTTTCACTTTTATTTTTTTTCACTTTTATTTTTTGCAGTGCTGGGGATTGAGCCCAGGACCTCACACATGCCTGGCAAGTGCTCTATCACTGAGCCACATCATTTAGCCCATACTCAGATTTTTAAGGAATATCTATAAATAAAACCATAGGTAAAGTGCAATGAGAAATAGGAAAGGAAATTCATCCTGAGTGGAGGGCGAGAAAGAGGAGCTACCTAAAGAAAGTTGTGAATGCTGTGCTGGACTTTGTCAGGCACAATAGAAGGACCAGGGGCAGGTGTCCTTAGGGAGGTAATACAGAATTTTGGTTAAGAGCTGAGGCTGCCATTGGAGTGCTCTGGTTTGAATCCCAGCTTCGTCATTAATTGCATGATTTCAGTTTCCTCACATGTAAAACAGAGATAATTAAAGGATCCATGCCTCATGGGTTTGTTACAAGTGTTCATAGACATAATTGATGTATGTGTTGGTTACTATTACTGTTTGGTATGCTTGAAAAATGTGTAGGACTGAGGATGTAGCTCAGTGGTAGAGCAGTTGTCTAGCATGTGAGTTCTTCAGTTCTATCCCAGTAACACA